CCCTGCCCAGACTGCACCAGGCGAGCCAGACACCTCTCCCTCGCTCCTGTTGGCAACCCCGTGCTTCTCTGCAAAGCCCAAGCCTCTCTGGGGACCTGCAGCACCATGCTACCTCGGAGGCGGGTGCAGCAACACGGCAGCCGAGCTCTGCCTTGCCCAGAGCAGACCCCGCCAGAGTCAGCTACCCACCGGTTTACACGCTGCACAACAATCCAGAGAGAGTGTCTTTGCTCCTTGAGAAATTCAGTGGACTTGGAAGACAGTCAGACAAAAAGCCTGCAGCAGTGACTAATTTAATTTTGAAAAATACACATCCAGGCCATATACCTATCCCGAAACCGCTGCAACTGCAGGAGCATCCAGCACTAGCATTAAACCAGCTACATGGAGCACAACTAGTAATGGACCCACGGCAATAATGCTCAGCAAAGGCTAGTCAGTACAGATAATTTATCCAGTTTCGGTGGCAGGTTTCACTGCTACGCTAACTAGTCGAGCACCGCTAATGCCTGCTATGGTACATCCTCCCGCCCACAGCCGCTGTGGCAGGGTTCGACCTTGTATCACAATCTACATATCAGTACACGCGTTCACACACAGAGCTGGAAGCGTTGGAGGATTTTATTAGGAAGAGCCCAACTTCAAAGCCAGAGGTACAGTACAAATTTGTTACATTCTCTATTCGTGGAGCTCATTCAGGAGCAAAAAGGGCAGCCTCAGGGGAAACCCAGTATTTGCATCTGCACCAAGAGTCTTCTTTTGACTGATGTTAAGAGCGCTCTGAAGTTTCTGAGGAAGAAGAAACCCTAAGTGGGCAGAGGAAACAGCTCCACAATGGGAAAAAAAAAATGGAAAATTCCCAACCCATTCACCCTGAAAAGCCCTTAGTGAATTATTTGCTTCCCAGCAGCTGACAACAGGCCTGCTTTTCACAGCTACCTTTTGACAGCCCTCCAGAAGTAGTCTGTGATCCCCAAGCGGCTGCAGACCAGCGCACTGTTTTTCGAGTACATGGCCTAAGTTCAAGGCAGGTGATGAAAAACCAACAGCCCAGACCAAATTCTGCCTATTTCAAAACCTATCACAAGGCAAGGAAAGTAACAGATTTGCTTTTTCACCAGCAATTTTATGCATCAAGATATTTCACTTACAGATATTCAATCACGTTTTAAAAATAAAAGCGGATACTGGATATCAACAGAGAGAAACTCCTCAGCACACAGCCTTCATAAATACAGCCAGGAAGTCTTCCAAGAAGTTCCGATTGCAATCACGAACTCTCTCCCAAGATATGCAAATAGTGTTTAAAAAAAGACTAGTTCCATGAAATAACCCACGCGGCTAAACCCCGTCGTTTAATAGGTACGTGATTCTGCAGATTCTCCAACATTATGAAGTAAGGATCTGCTCTGCTGTGCAAGCCGAAGAACACAACTTCAGCTTCCTGAACAAAAAAAAAATGCTGCTAACCATAGAGAAACTGATACGTATAATTAAAAGCTGATTAGTGTTACAATATTTCTCCTAAGGCAGGGAACTTAGTTTAGCAATTTCCTCTTCTAATCTAAACCAACTAACTAATAGCTGGCAGCCCAGGCAGAGAAGGACAGCCTAGCAAAGAGCAAGCAGTGGCAGAAGTCATTCAACCAGACTTAACGCAACCAAGCTCCATGTCTCACCTAACAAAGGGAGAGAAAATACCTGCAGCATCCAGGCTCCGTCTTGCACAAGAATTTCCTGCACAGGACAGCAGTAAGAAGCTCACCTCTGATTTGTATGAGAGCAGCTCTCAGCTCTTGCTGCTGGCTGAGCTGACAGTCGGAAGAACCACTAAGTGGAAAATGCCAGGATAAACAGGCTTTCACACTACTTCTTACCTGCAAATGGCCATCACTGCCAATTCGCAGTTTTTCTAGCATTGGAGCTCTAACTGCAGTGACGCTCTAATCAACCCCTTAAGCAAACAAGAAGCGAGGTTTCTTCCCAACCAAGGGTCTCTGCTGTTCTTCTTTACAGACCTAAATCTCCCTCCATCCCGCACAAATCTTACACCACTCTAGTCAGTATTCTTTTAAGACGCTGTCAGAAAAGAAGTGCTGACTCCCAAATCAAGATGACTGCAAACTCATCAAGCTTGAATATCTAAGATTAGAAGTAGGTGTAAAAACAAGACTGACCAGACCACTGAAGTACTGTAGTACTGACCCACACAGATGATTAAGAAATTATTTGTATTTTGGGGTCTCAGATTTGCAACATTTTATCTCAGCTCACTGTGTCAGTTTAAGTACAAAAAAACCCCTAAGCAATAAGGGCTAACAGCCATATTTCTTGCTAGAATCGCATAAAACCCAACACTTCTTTGGAAGACAACAGCAATAGCTTGGCTGTCAGAGCAGAACACAGGGAGGATGTTATTCTGCTGTTGCTCAGGACTCAACTAGATAGAGACATACAGGTTAAAATGAACTGTAAACAAAGAAGTTGAGCATTTACTAAACTTTTTCCAAGTGCTGGAGTCAATGTCAGGTCCAGCAAACACTCGGGGGTGACCTGATCATGTTCCTTAGGCCCAGAAAAGGGGGCTGAGCAGCAAAGCAACAGTAAAAAGCAAGAGGAACTCCTCTTTGCACAGGGCTAGATGCTAGACACTTATCTCGATAGCTAAACATCCAAGTACTTCCTTCATGCCACTTTCCCACATAAACAACTGCTGTTACTGGTGTCAGACACTGTGTCAGCAGAGATGGTAAGCAGCAGATTCGCAGTCTGCGATAACACATGGCTACGCAAGGGCAAGAGAAGCTGGCTCTGCCCAAGGGGTTTTATGGGTACATGCACGGCATGCATCCGGCTTGCAAGCTGGAAAGCACGTTCACCCAGGTCAGTGCTGGCCATACTCGAACCCCAAGCTTCAGGCCAAAAGACAGAGCTCACACCTCCTGTCCAGGAGGGGAAACCCCAGCCCCCCACCCTCTGTGGGAACCTCTCCACTGAGTAACACACAGT